ATAAAAAGTACATTTGAGGATTATTCTGCTATAAGCACAAAAGCTATTGATCGTCTGTTGGGTGTGGGTGAATCAATCATTTGAAGGACTCTTAAAGGGGAAGAAATGTATCTTAGAATCATATATAGAGAATGCAGGTGTTGAAACTAGGTGATGATAACTCTGTGCGTTAACTTTACGTATTAGTACTTTTGCGGACTCTATCGAATCTTGATTTCCTTTCTTATGTTCTATTCATGATAGAGCTACGCTGCACATTCTGATGGTTCAAAAACCCAGAAGTCTCAGTTTGGGGCACATGATAATTCCCAAGGCACGAGATTTCATGCCTTTCAGAAAATATTCTTTATTTATGGCACAATCTCCACACAACTGCTTAGTAGGACTCTACATTCTCTACGATTCAAACTTACTTTTTAATAGTCCACGCTTGGACGGCAACTTGCTTGACAGTGTCTTCTTACAAGAGGAACCTGAGGAACGACTTGAGGAGCTTCTTTCCGGTGTTTCATCAAGGTGTTGAAGCTGGAACACCAGCATACTTCACTAGGGACATCTAAAATTACCTTGACACTACATACTGCCTCATCTGGATGTGACGTGGCGTACCTGTTTGGACGAGGTACTAAAATAGCCAGATTTGACACACGTGGATTTCTGCGAAACGTAATCTACGAAAGTTAGTCCTATGGAGATCCATTGGCTTCTTAGTTGCTGCCGGATGTGGGTATGAAATTCATTAGAGCTTTGATAATGTACTCCAACCCCTATGCCACAGCTGTGAATCTTGTATTATTATTGGTAATCACACTTTCGAGCGCTTATTGTAAAGATGTTTCATCATTAACATTATTTGTCTCTTTTCACTTGACCTGTCGTTTCGTAATCTATGTTTTTTAAATCTTCCTTACGTGGCAGCACTTCCGTGCATCTTTTTCGAACACACATTTCATCACAAAATGTGCTTTTTATGTTTTCTTTTCCCCACCTTTAATATTTTTGTCAGCTAGTTTAGAATCATCCGTTATATTTGAAGCTAACTACTACATATAATATTTCTAAACGATTGGGAAAAACTTTTTATGTTATTTTTCACCATAAATTACAACTGTATGAAGACTTTTTCACTTTTTTTAATGATAAAGACTGAATTATTCAGAATGTATATATACTTCTTTTTAAGTTAGTTAACGGGTGCATGAGATGAGCAAAAATCATTCTTTAGTTAACGGGTGCATGAGATGAGCAAAAATCATTTTCCGTAAATGAAACGGTATAAATTTGCGATTTGCTAACAGGAAATTCATATAGTCAAAACAATAGTGTTTTTTGGAGATGGCAGAAAAAGACCGTGGAAGTATTTAAAAAATTATGATCAAAATTATTCCAGATTCATCAACATTCACGTGGACCTATACCGTTACATAGCAGCACGCAGTAGGTTATGAATAAAAATTTCATAGAAAATCATTCATATATTATATTCAAGAGAGACATATCAATTCAAAATTTAAATTTAGGTGTAAAAGCGACTTTATTTTGAAGCAGGCTTTGTATAAAGCTCTATTGATTTCGAGGGATATCAGATATAGATATCTTCGTCTAGAGCAATGTTTTGCTTCTGTGGAAGACGGACATATGCCTGATGACCTTGAAAATCATAAAAGTTTTATTCAAAGTCTGCGTTATTAAAAAAAAAATTTTCCCCTTATTTTAAATTACCATTCGTAAAAGCGCAAAAATTCGCAATTTGATATTGAGTGAACTTCAGTTTTATGGAATCTCTAAATCGATATTTTTTCATCATGAAAGTGACTTAAATCATAATAATTTTGTACTTCCTTGTACAAAGTAAAGAAAGTAGTGTTTTGTTTTAGTTTTTGTTTAACGTCAATCTAGTATACACATTATTTCTCGTAAGTCTCAAGACGCGGATAAGAAAAAAATTAACTAGTTCAAAATTTCTTCGTATTAGTCCTGTAAAGAAAATTATGTTTTGTATTAAGCTTGCTGAAAATGATTACACGATCAAAACTGTTGTAGCATAAGGTCCCCATCTTATTTTATTAATTTTTTAAGTGGAACGACAAGTCTATGACTGATTATTTAAGACATATTTATTGGTGCAATCCTTTTTGAAAACCTTAATGTTGTGATACCTTATAATATGTTGTTTTATACATAAGATACATGAAATTGTTTTACACATAAAATACATAGGGAATCATTGCTGCATGATTCAGTCATACTGCTGGCTCATAACTTTTATAGTCAGATCCGTAGCCATTAGCTTCAGATCTAACATTTTCGTCGAACCTAAACGATTTATGAGAGTAACTTAACCAAATGAATGAAGTTATCCATATGGAAAAACACTGACATCGACGCCTTCAGGATGATATACATTGTGCTAAATGTGAAGCTTTCCCAGAAGTTAATACATTTTCGTTTTTATTATGAACTCATCCAAGACTAGTAAATAATAGAACAATCCGTACAATGAAAAGATTAGAAAACTTCAAAAAACGTAGTTTCATCGCTATGATGTGCAGCAACCTAGAAGGTGCAGAAGTTAATACATTGTGAAGAATGACTAATGTTATAATTAAACTCCGTTTTTAGTGATGAAAATGAAAATAAGAAGTAGAAAAGTGTAAAATACAAATATTTTTATTGCACATACAAGTATATATAAATGAAAACTACACCATATTATTTTATGCGTAAAGTTTGTTTATTCAATACGAATTTTACAGCGTTCATTTTACCATAATATATATTACATTTTACATTTTACAACAATGTTCATTTTACATTCAGTTTACAACATTTGCATTATATATATGTATATATATTTTCTAAATTACTTTCGATTTGTATGATGACATTGGCTATGTACTTTTAATTAATAATTTTGTTTCCTATAGTGGATTTATTTGCTTACTAAATTTCCCGAAATTCTTTTACTATTAAATTTCTCATTTAAACACTTCACTACTTTTGGTTTTGTGTACTTATTTACCTATGCCAACATGGATAACAAAATACGAATTGACTAATTGAAGAGTTAGGTTTGGAGGCAACTTCCCCTTGAAAAGATCTGTTTCCTGCCTGCTCAACAATTATTCACTTAATGAAAATTTAGTTTTAATTAACAAAATTTTAAAGTTTTTATGATAAAATTTTTGGATTATTATATATTTTCTCATGTATTTAGATGCTTGCACTTGTTTACTTATGCTTTCTGAATTTTAATGGCATTGTAAATTACTTCGCAGTAATAGTTAATCATTTTATTTGTTTACAATTGAATTTTCATAATTTAAAATTTTAATTAGCTTTATATGAATGAGATAATGATATTGTATTTGTTTAACTGAAATATATCGATATCTATATTACCGTGAAAGACCGAAATTTGGAGAATGTCAACATTCTCCCATCCATGTCACCATTCACATAGTCGCTAGATGTATGTCCAAAATAGTAGTTTGGTGTATAACCGTTTGCTAAATATTCTTATTTCTCATTTTCTCCGACAAATACCGACACAAGTAAAAAAAATCTGACGTTAAGATCGGAAGTAAACAATTAAATACGCTTTTAATTTAAGCTTGGGTGATTTTTTGTATAAGTTCAGTCATAGAGTAATGTTTCAAAACTTGTAAATTGCTCCTTTTATTGAAACATTACACGTTACTATCCGATTCTGAAAAATGACAAATCTTAAAATTTATACAATGCACTACCATTTCAAAGCTGAGCATGGTAAAAGACAGAAAAATGTAAATGAAGTATTAAAATGTTCTGCATTTATTAGCAGAAAGCGATAGTATTGTAGCGATCTGAATTGGCGAAGGCTAATTCGAAGCATTTTTAACCCAAATCTCTGGCAGAAACTATATTTTATATCAGCTGTTTATTCTGTTTTTTGGTCTATCAAGACGAATGATATTTTTCGTAAAAAGGGTTTACGTGCTTCTAAAATGACAGCAGCATTCTTTCCAATAATGTGAAATTCAAAACTGAAACGCTGAGGTTATGAAATTTTAAAAAAATGGTTATCATAAGTTAATTGAATAACTTTAATATCTTTGTTAAAAATTAACTTATTAGATAAAAACAGGACCTAGAAATACGATGAAAATTGTTGCCAACCCATATTTCTAAAAGAATGAAACTATTCAAAATGATGCGATTTCATCAAAAATCTATCAACAACAATAAGACAGGAAAATTGTTGCCAAAATCACATTTTTAAAGATGTGAGATGTGAGAAGTGTACTCGGAAGCTTCATTTAAAAAATTTTTAAAAATACAAAATATTATCATTTTTCCAAAATTCTTTTTGTAAAAGCAGTCGCAAGGATGAAAGTTTAACGTGTCCAAAAATCAAAGAAAAATAAACTGTACATTTTTAAAAATAAACTTTTTTAGAAAAAATCCCTTTGAAAAGGTGTTAAGCTCCCTTTGTTAAATAAATTCGTATTTAATCGATTTATTGAAACACGAAATTTATTTTAAGTTCGTAAAATAGCTAAGTGCCTACGTTTCATGACGATGTGAAAATGGAGTGTGTAGAGTAAAATCTCGCTTTCCTATAGCCCATTATGTCTCAAAATGACGCGATTTCGTCACAAAACATAAAATTAAAAAAAATTCGAATTCGAATTTCGAAAAAATCGCTTCGAGGTGCACTGGCTCTTGTCTAGATGCACCTATGTACCAAATTTCGTAGCCGTGCTATTATTACGCGCGCGAAAGACACACACAACCAGACTCTTTTTTATTATATGTAGAGATTTCGTAATTTTATTATAAGACGTTATTTTAAAAAAAGCAGTTCTTAGTCGCAAAAACCCTCTCCTCATTGTACACTGGTAACGGTATTACAGAGACATTTGCTAAAATTCGTTTCTTTTATCGGTTCAATTAAAATTAAATTATTATTTGAAAAATAATTCAGTTGAAGCAATTATTTGCATTTTTTTTTCTTGCAGGTAATCACGTATGTGCTAGAATGGGATTCGAATGTTGGATGTGCGATAGCAAATAAAAGAGGATTGCAAAATTTATTAAATGGCATATTTGAAAGAGAAAGGCTTCAAACAAGAAGACAGTTTATCGTTACTAAGTCATATTTTCTTTACCGAATTTCTCTTATTATTCCCTTACTGTGCACATGATCTGAATGATACCTAGATGCTTGAATAAAAAAGTAAATTATTTCAGAAATAAAAAGGAATTGAGCTGTAACTTGACATCAGCATGGGATGATCAAAACGTTTTAATTTGTTTATATGTCTTTTTTTTCTCCATATTATTCTTGACACCTTATTCTGAACTTTATGAATCGAAGAGCCTGAGGCTGCAATTTTAAGCAACCATGACTTTGGGTTTGGAGATGTGGAAGCACCTATGGCGTTTTTTCGTGTCGAGAGAAGAAAGATATCACTGGGATACGACAAAGCACAATAGGGCTGTCTGCCTAAGGGGAGGAACGCCTTCGCGGAATCTTTTTAAGGGAAACTAGCTAGTGTACACCAGTCCGTTTGCGGGATTCGAATCTCGGACCGAACTACCAGTGTTCATCGACGTTACCGTTCAACCGCTCGTGAGCCCGACATTTCTGAAGAAACAGAGGTGTTATTGAACTTTGTATTTATAGAAAAAGTTGCAATCAGCTTCAAATATTGCAGCATGCCTATGATGGTGGAATGCTTCAATTGGAGGACTTCAAAGAGGAATCAGTAAAGCATATTCTGACGAGACGCTCATTGAGGTTACGGATGTCAACATTGATTTATGGGAAGTTAGTGATTACTACGTCTTGGAAATACGTATACGTCTTGGAGTAATTTGCATGAAACCGTGAAAAACAAAAGACCGAATTTTCTCAAAAAACAGTTTTGCTTCAAAATAATGCACGGCTGCATTGCCTGAATTCGATGGAATAATACCAAAATATCTTTCATATAGTTTGAACGTACTCGAAGATGATTCCTGGGTATTAGACTGTGAAGGTAACTCCGCGGAGAACGGTTCTGTTCGGCTGAAGAAGGGACAAAGAAAAGTCTCAACCGCGTTGCCAAAAAGAGATATTACAAAACAGTTTATTTCATGTCTTTGAATAGTTCATAAAATGTTGTGAAACATTTAATTCAATAAAAAGGATCCTTTGAAAAAGAAAAAAAAAAGGCTATAGAGAGTCAGCTGATGGGAGATAAAAAATTATTCTCAAAGCATTTTAATCTTCCTACATACGGGAGTAATATCAGTAATAAGTTAATAATCGTGGACATTTTAAGACGTAATGTTAGGGGAAGAAACGTTATATTCTGTTACCTTAAAATAGGAAATTCACAGTTATTTTCCGCCATCCGATTTGACTGGTAATCACTGGAACAACAGCTCAGGAAAAAGGTTGAGTCGCTTAATTTTGTTCCCCACTTACTTTTCGTTTAGCATCTTTCGATTCCGCACTAAATCAAAATTACGCAACAGACTTCTGAATTATTCGGTCAGTCAAAGCTAATTAATCAAATCAAAAATGAATTATATTTCCAGAATTTCAAACAATTAAGTTTGATAACACAGACTCAGCTTTCAAATGCACGGGAATAAATCGGGCAAAAAGTTCAAATGAACCCTTACTTGAATTACAATTACAGGTAAAGCCAATACCTCTGTAATACCATAGGTGATTAAAATATTGCTGGACCTAGCTGCTAAGCTTCCGCCCCAGTTCTGATGGAGAACACCCCAGGCGGCAATCCCATCCCTCTTATCCTGCCACCAATCTGTTGAGAGGACTTTCGGTTTGCCATGTGTTTAGTACCTCCTTGCCTCACAGAATCCATGCTTTCTCCGGTGTTCGAGCCAAGCCCATCGGTCGCCAGTCAGCGTCACTAATCATTAAAGCGTCTGGGCCGCTACATGAATTGTAGACTTAAATTATACGGAGAAAATAAGTGCTGTGCAATGATAACGAGACAAATTGCGAGTGCAATGAGGGGGACTGCAACGGCCTTAAAGTGCCGAATTAAAAAAAGCAGACTACATTAGTAACATAGCGTAATGGTGGTAAATTGTTAGGACATGTGCTGATAATCAAGAAAGTTAGAGAATTTTTTTGCAAAGTTAGAAAACCAAAGGATACATTAAAGAAAGCTGTTATAATTTTCTGCGTGTAATTGCTTATCAGTTTATGTAATTTGTTGTTTTTGATGTAACTGATGTCGCTTCAAAGTTTAAACGGTACGACCATGCTTTTCACTATATGCAACGCTTGTAAATACTCATCCGAAAGTGTAATTTTTTAAAAAAATCTTTATACACCGAAATAATTTGTCAAATAAGCCACTTTTATTTTTATAGTACCTTTTACTTTTGTGAACTCATTTGGTGATATTCAGATTTTAAACCAATGCACGCAAATTCCTTTCCCCATTGAAATGTTTGTTCTCTGTATTGTTATTGAACAATTTTGCAGAAGAGTATTAATCATTCCCTTATTTGCTCACAGACGCAGAAATAAATGATGTAATTGAAATGCAGAGATAAATTTCTGCGGTCAAAAATCTTGGAGAACGAGCTGGAATAATTAAAAATTCGAAAATAGGGCATAAAAGGAGAAGTGATGGCTTTTGAAATGAAAAGCAAATTGTCTCTGAAGGGAGAAAAGAGTATTAAACTAAATTTTTTGTGCTATTTAATTTTGCATTTTTATGCGCATTACGTCATACACCACGGAACTTTTAAAAAGTAATTACATTCTAAGCTTCTTAATTTTTCACTTTTCTTAAGGTTGCAACAGTAAAGGTATTTCGATTTTATGTGAAAATTGTCGACATTCGATGTATATTTATTGACATCGACATTTGAATGAAATGTTCCTTATTTCATGATAACAACCAAATCGCTTAAATTCGCTCAATTCTCTCATTTTGGTTTAATAAATTCTATTCTTTTAAACATTTGATTTCTTAAAGTTTGTTCAGTTTCATGATGTTACGTATAGAGTTCAGTATGTTTTCAAATCGTATTAATTTCATAGTGCACTTCTTGGCTTACGTATTGTTAACTCACATTACTCAAATATCTTCTAATATTTCGGTATATTTTCTTAAAGGCATCTTTCATTGTCCTCGTCAAGGAATGCAAGAAGTTTATGTTTCTTTTTCTTCCTGCACACTCAGCAAATTTTTACAGGATCTCCTTCATGAAAAGTAAATTTCTTAACCTGAAATTCGTGTGGGATTAATTAATTCTTGGTTTATTCAAGCGGTTTAAATTTATATATAAAAATCTTAATACAAAATCATGTCAGTTAGTTGTTTTTCAGCATTTTGTCTAAGTTGCATAAAAATGCATAAAATTATGCACAGCATTGCATAAAAAATTATACGATTCGACAAGGTAATCACCATTCTTTCCAAATTCCTAAACTAAAACTTTGCCACATTTACAACTGAGAGAGAAAACAATAATTTTAGAAAATTTCTTAGTGAATTTTATTATTAGTTGTTGTTATTTCATGAAGGATGTTAGAGATCAAACTTTTGGTTGTAGCATGTGCCTTCAAAAAATTTTAGCTTTAGCTAATTAGATAAAACAGACACTTTAATCGGATTTAAAGTTTTACTGGTTAAAGCAAAAATCTTTCTCCTCTTGAGGATATTCTTTGAGTTAAGGTCAGATTAATTTAAAGGCTGCACAATGTTGCATTTTTTTCTTTGATAGAGGAAGAGTTGTGGTTAAATTTTGAGTAACAAATGAAAGTTTGTAATGAGTTTCAGCTATCAAGAAACGGCCATAAAAGTAATATTATGTAAACTATCTCACTGGAATCTCTTTCATAAATACTGCAGCCTAAGCTTAGTTATGAGTATTTATTTAAAACGAAAGTTTTTTATTATCTACTAATTTGCCAATGAAACTTTGCCAATTATACTTTCTCTTTTCCCGATTCAATTCTCATTTCATATTACGCTCTCATAATTTCTTATAATTCCTTAAAATAAAACAAAGTTATTCGCTACTGTTGTTATTATCGTATACAAAAATTAATATGCGGAAAAATTAGTATATTTTGGGAACGAAACAACATATAGCAATCACATTGCTATATGTTAGTTCGTTCATAACCTTGCTATAATATGTTGTTGCAATATGTTGTTTTATAACATTGCTATATGTTGTTGTAACATGGCTATAAGTTGCTGTTGTAACATTGCTATATGTTGTTGTAACATTGTTATATGCTGTTTTGTAACATTGTTATATGTTGTTTTATAACATTGCTATATGTTGGCTGTATGCCGCAGCATATAGCAATATCATATATAATAACATGTAGGATAACATATAACTATGTTGTAACATTGCTATATGCTGTTGTTGTAGCATTGCTATATGTTGTTGTAGCATTGTTATGTGCTGTTTTATAACATTGCTATATGTTGGCTATATGCCACAACATATAGCGATAGCAGATAACCTGTAGGGTAGCATATAGCATATAGGCATAACATATAACATTAACAGATGAAAGCATGAAAAAACTAACTATAGCCTACACAAAAAAATCTCATAGCAACCTCTTTTAACAAATAAAGTTAGAAATAAAATCAGGGTGTTTTGTGCTCAATCTGAATCTCTGTGTTATGATTCAGAAGGATGATCTAAACAATAAAGTTTGAAAAAAAATGAATGGATCATATTATCTGAAGTGCCGTCAAGTGATGAAAGATAACACGGCGTTTCCAAAAGGGAAAGCTGTAATCGGAAGTAGCCCGAAAATATAAAATGTCAATAGTTTTGTCATTTACCACCTGTATCAAATTTTTGTAGGTCTCGCTGATGAGTGAATTCAAATAGTGTTTAAAGGTGAAAATCATTCTGGCCTTTTTTCTTTACAAGCAAGATAATGCAGTTCAATCATGGCATAGAAAATCTATTTAAGGAGAATTAATGATGATTCTATATTGCATTTTATTATCATTAAATTCTACCACTTGGTTGCAATTTAAATTGAAGAACATGAGGTGGGGGACGTAATATTATTTTTCATTAAGTTGAGAATGATTTAGTGTGGGGGACGTAATATTATTTTTTATTAAGTTGGGAATGATTTAGTACGCTATCTATCACATTAAATTTATTATTTATATTTTAGATGGCAGCACTATAATAAGTCGTTGTTTTAATCATATTCCCGCCATTTTAGATAGTTCGACTATAAAAATAACATTTTAGTGGCGCCATCTAAGAAATAAATAATTAA